GTTCTTGGGGGCGCCCGAGACAGAGGCGTGCGCCTAGCTCTGTGTGTGGGATGCGCCGAGTGCCTTCAGCTCGGCTCTAGGGGTGACGTCTGTCAAGGAAGCCTATTGGGACAGAAATCAACGGGCCGAGCCTGTAATTCGCGGGAGCTGCAGCCACTTCACGCCGCCGGGGGGGGCTGCCCATGGACCGCAGTGGAGTGACACCCGTTTACACCTGCTGGGTCTCCAGTCCACAAAGTTCTGGCCTCCCTTCACGGAGAGCACCTGGGACAATCTCGGTCAGGGCTTCTAGGGGCTGTCGCGTTACACACCTTGTAACAGACCGATAGCCGGGTCTGTTGGGTTTCAGCTGCATTTCCCCACTTCTCCGAGATGGGAAATGCTCCTGGCGTTCCTTTGGCGCTAGAGAAATACACAAAGCGTGTGCGTGAGATTGACGCACAGTGTTGTAAGCTCCTTGGGCAGAGACTGGGTGCCTTCATCTGTCTCTGTGGGGTGCTTAACAGAGCCCCAGTCCCCGTGCTACCCGTTCGGAGGGTAACGCAGCTCTTGCCTTGTGAATATTCGAGCTCTGGCCTTCCCCTGATGGGGTTGGCCCCTAGGCGAGCCTTGTTGTAACCCCTTAACAGCTGATCACCGGTTCGAGAGAGCCTGCTGCGGGAATTCCCCAAAAAGCATGATTCAGTCCAGCGCTGGGAGCTCCTGAAAAAGAAGATGGAGAAATGCAAGGTAAGGAACAGCCCAAGAATGTAGCTGGGGACGGGAGAGAATCGAGGCGGTGTGTGGCTCGTGGGGGACGGTTGGTCTTTGGGCCCAACCCATCGATTGAATTCCCCCCCCCTTAGCTCTTATGTGACGCTTTCCATCTGTCGACCTCGAAATGCATTACAAAGATCGGTATCGTTCCCTCCCATTTTACAGATGGGGAAACTGAGGCACAGGGTGTCGGCGGGATTTGCCAGTGGCAGAGCCGGGAATAGAATCCAGGCTTCTGAGTCCCAATCCAGCACTCGTCCCTGTTCGGCTGGGGACGCTATAGGGAGCGCCTGCCCTGCCCACAGCACCCCGTGACGAGGGGTATTCCCGGGTGGCTGGTTTGCATCCAGAATCGGGGCCTCTGGCTGTACCTAGGATGGTGACGTCCTTGAATCTCCGGGGTGGGACTCGTTTGCAGAGGGCGCAGAGACAGGGAGCGTATGGGGCCTCGTAGCACAAAAGCCGTCCCCAGCCCGTGACTGTCCGTCTGCTCCTAGCCCTCCCACGCGGAGTCGGAGATCATGCTGCAATACTGCTTCCCCCGGTTGGATATCAACGTCAGCAGGGGAGTCAACCACTTACTGAAGAGCCCGTTCAGCGTCCACCCCAAAACAGGTCACGATCACACGTTGATGTAGATCCGCTGGCCCGGCGTCCAGCAAGGCGGGGCGGTCGTGTTATCCCCATTCCGCGGGTAGGGGATCTCACCGGCGCGAGTGTGAGAAATTCAGCCAGCCGCCTTCCGCCCCATCGGCAGCCCCGAAGCCCCCTCCTCGTTTCAGACCAGGATGGGGAGCGAGTTCCCAGCCAGACGCTTCCCTGGCTAATGCAACGGGGGATCCTGGCGCCGTGAGCTTCCTTCCGACCCAGGTCTCTGTGCAGTCCAGAAATCCAAACCATGTTTACCTCCCCTTCCTCATCTCACCCCTTGGCCAGTATCGTCATAATTTGGACAGCGAGGTGCTGTCCAAACACAACCCATCCCCTGCCTGGGCTTGTGGTGAGCTGTGACTGCATCTCGCTGTGCTAAACTCGCTTCTGTCCCTGTCCCCTCCCTCTCTCCAGCCCTGGCCGTGTCTCTCCACCTGAGACTCGCAGCAAACCGAGGTTGCTAGCTCTTTAGGCCAGGGGTTGTCTCGCTGCTTTCTTGTGCAGCTGCCAGCCCAAGGGGCCCTGACCCCTCATTGTGGCCTCTGGGCGACACAGGAAACACGCCGCTGGTAAAGTGACGCTGGTTTTGCCTCTCCTAGGTCGTGTTTCGGTCCC